AACAGCTGCGCTGGGAACGAGATGGATGCAACCCCTTTTTTGTATCCAGCTTGTTTCCGCTGGGGCATTTGCCTTGGTGGGCTATCATGATGCAACAATACACGTAGCGGTGCAGACAATGGAGGCTTTAATTAAGGCTCTAGCTTAAAAGAAAGTGTTATTGGGTTCATTCAATATTCTAACAAAGGGACAATTTTTTGTGGAAAAAATTCGGGATGTCGAAGCAAGTGTGTACCGTATTGGGCATCTGATTTACCGTACAGATGCTTTCTTTTTTTTCCCACAGCAGCGATTAGTAATTCATTGCTGAATGTTGATTTCATTTTTGGTTTCTATGACACTACACAAGTATTCAAAACAGCACACAATGAAAAGTCCGGAGGCCAAGCTGGGAGAGATGTTAGTGCTGTGTTGTACTAAAATGCTTCCTGAAAAAAGAAAAAAAAAAAAGATGCCGTGTGGAGGAAGGACCCGGAAACGAAATCACTGTGGCGGGTGCAAATCTGAAATTGGGACTCCAAACCGGATTCCACTTTCAGACAATTTTTTGCCATGGACTCTTCCAATATTTCCTAAAGGCTGTTGTGTACACATAATATATAATAATAGACCCAGGACAGAACCTTTCGGCACTCCACAAAACAATGGAGTGTTGGAGGACTCTGTGCCATTGCCACGAAATGGCCGAGTGTGATCACTTAAATATGGCATAGGCCTTTACACCATTCAAGCAACAGTCCCAGAGAAGCCAAAACATAAAGTTTCCAGAAGGATCAAATGATCTAAAATTAATCCTAGGACGGATATTTTCCGTCTGTTAGCTGCAGGCGTATTCTTAGACAAGCAGCTTCCTTTATACGGGGTGCCCACTGCGGCTGGATTGGACCGATCGCCCGACTCGGTCGATTGAACACGCAAAACAAACGCGTTTGTTTTTGAGGCGACCTAGTCGGGCGATCGGCCGATCCCATCCGTAATGGGCACCCGTATAAGTCATAGGCTGATTTGAAAATCTCCAATACCGGTACGTTATGTTCTGGCTGAGATGAGCTTTTACTTAAAGAATTTTGAATAGAAAAAGTAGTTTTAAAATGGGACAAATTTTTTTTAGGTCATCCACTGACACGTTTTGTTTAAGAAGAGGAAAAAACAACAGAACGAAACTGCATAAGATGATGCCCCTTGAAGTCTTTTTTCTAATGACGATTTTAACTGGAAACCTCTAGAAATTGATTCAGGTGAGTGTGGAATATCAGTTTTAGCGTGGCAGCAACAGCCAACGCCATGGATAGGTCGCATCCATCAAAATTGAGTCATAGAAGGCAAAACATAATTAAGCTCTATCTTCGGGGGAAAAAAATAAAATACGCAAAGCAAGTAATTTCACTCAACTACATATTATATTATCTTATGTTTAAACAATAATATGTCTTCTCAACAAAATGGTTTGAAGGTGTTTCTTCTGATATTTCTGTAGGCCTCCTCTACCCCTTCCTCATATGTGAGGCAGCGCGGTGGAATCAGGCTCTCGTCAATTTTTGAGCATGTAGAGTTATTGGTGTCATCTTAAAGCTTGTTCACTTGTCTTTTTTTGGATGAGCAAAGTATTCGTTTATCTTGAATACAAGTCGAGATATTTGCGAATGAAGGAGGTGGGGGTCACCTATTTTCAGAGGTAAAATTAGTGAGAAAATGGCCGCTAAAGATTAGTTATTTCCTTAGCTTTATAGTCCATGGTGACTGTACATTTACGTATTTTGGGCAATTAATCGACTTTTTTTCAGAAAAGTCCACACAGAAATGAGTTCTTTAATGGTCATGAAAGATGTTGAGCGAAAAACCAAAACATTAAATAAAAATTAACAAACCTGCGGAAAAGTGCAGGTTTCTTCATTTTGATTATTTTGACTATAGCCTGATTCCACCACGCTGCCTCACATATCCTTCTAGATAGTGCAAGACATCCACTCATCAATCCGCCCACTCCCCAGGTAACAGTGGACCAGAACTGACACTGTGTGGGCGTGAGTACGTCTATTATTACATTAATGTATTATTTACCGAAGTCAGCACAGAAACTAGACTGGAAAAGGGGGCTCTCTGGTCGACAGGAGGTTACACCAGTGTTCGCCTCTCATTCAGTAGGTCTCGGGTTCGAATACGGACAGCGACAGAAACTTTTATTCTCTAAAATTTTCTCTTTTCACCTCCTTTCCGGCTCTTAAACAATGTTCTGTTGTCTACTTTCGTCTCCATGTTCTGCCCTCACCTCCTTTGCCCCCTTCTCTGGCCTCCTGGCTCTTTCAGCAGCCTTTCAAGTGCTACTCCTTGGCTACTTCTTGCTGCTGTCTTTCAGCCGCATCCATCCATGATCTTATGGTAGGTAAGATCTAATACCTAACCTTCTCGGATAAGGGCAAAAAATCTCGGAGGTCCCCAGTGCATGTTGCGCACGTTAAAGATCCCTCGGTGGTCCAACAATCGATAAAAGTAGGCTTTGGCCGCCACCCGGGCAAAATTAAAAATTTCGTACCAACTGAAAATGTTTAACGTTTTCGCACACGCTCATATTATGACCTTATGCAGTTGCAAGCATCGTAGAATCTAACCCCCCTAAAAAGACTGGAAAAGAAAGTACAGTCACAATTGCCCAAGACAGCCACGCGTTGCCGTGGAGAAAAGCAGTTTTCTTTGACAGGGGGGGGGGGTGTCTTGAAGTGGTTGTTTGCACAGGCTACAGTCTTGGACAGGTAGCCGTGAGAGCATGTGTCAACTGTATTTGGGTATGAGTATTGTTAAATATAGCAGGAACAGGAACAGAAACAAGACTGGAAAAAAGCAGTTAGATTACTGCTGGAAAAATATTTACTGTTGTAAAACACATACAGCTTGCTGTTGAGTATGGATTTACATTACATGTATATAAATTGAATTATCAGTATTACTATTTAGGTCTTTTTTCTTAGTTTATATTGTCCTTCAATGGGGTTGCCTTCTTTTAAATCACAAAATAAACCTTTAAAAGAGCTTGCTGTTGAGTATGGATTTACATTACATGTATATAAATTCAATTATCAGTATTAATATTTAGGTCTTTTTTCTTAGTTTTCATTTTCCTTAAAGGGGGTTGCCTTCTTTTAAAAAAACCAACCCTTAAAAGAGATCAGAAGATTTAGAACCATGGCAGTCTAATTACACATTCATGTAAATTCCTTGTCTGAGAAACTGATTTTTCTTACAAGTCCTTGGTATTCCTAAGTCACTACGATAGTAAACTATACCCTAAACAAACAAAACAAACACATACAAGAATCAGAGGAGCTCACAAGGCTGTCCAGTTTCTACAGAACACAAAGACACATGATCTCAATTTATTATTTGGAAAATGTCAACAATCTCCCCCAGCCAAACCGTACAGGCTTTACATG